TTTTTTTTTTTTTTTGAAGGAGAGAGAGAAACAGAGAATGAGTGGGGAAGGGGTAGAGAGAGAGGGAGACAGAATTGAAGCGGGATCCAGGCTCTGAGCTGTTAGCAACCAGAGTCTGATGCTGGGCTTAAACTCGTGAACCGTGACATCATGACCTGAGCCAATGTTGGTCACTTAACCGACTGAGCCACCCAGGCGCCCCGATCATTTAATTTTGGACTTAGAAGGATCATTTCTTTGTAAGAAGAAAATTCGTCAACTGAAAACTAGCATTCTAATAAATCTTAGAAACACTAGCTAAGTAGACAGAAAGACTGAAGACTGCAGAGCTGTTTTCTCAAAACACCCTTCCTTAGCTTTGAGATAACTTTTTTCTATCTCTAACAGAGGGGATCAGAGCTAAGGTGAGACAGGAGAAGGGTGGGGAGCCCTCTCCATCACCACATCTAAAAGGAAAAGTGGGTGGATGGGAGTGAACTTAGTGAGGCACAGAGGACCAACTTAACTTGGATCTGACAGCTGTGGATGTCCAGAAAATGGTAAAAGCAGTACTGGATCAAGGTCTCCCCCTAACAAACCCACCTGGCAGGCTATGGCAGGAGAGCGTCTCACTCGGAAATCCTGGAGGCAGGAAGCAAAGCTGAGCGGCAGTTTGAAGGGACAACTAGAGTATCTCAGGGCAAGGTACCCACAACAATGAGGCTCTCGGCGGGGAGGCTCCCTGTCTTCCTCAGCCACCCCCACCGCCCTCGCGGTGCGCTGTCACTTTTGGCAGGGAAGCCGGCAACGCAGGGGCTGTCGCCGGCGGGCGGGCCTCAGACTGCAGTGGACAAGAGACTCCCACAGGCCTCATCGGAGCTGGGCCCCGAACCACCCCGCTCCCCCCGCCTCCAAGTCGGCGCTCTGGGCCGGCGTACGCGGCCGGGAGGAAGGCCCGGGTGCCCACTCACCGATCTGCCCGATGAACTCGATCTTGATGCCCTGGTGCTCCAGCCGCTTGTTGGGGTTCTTGAGTGCGAGGCTCACCTTCCCGGAGACCGTCTCTCCGTCGTAGAAGAGGAAATATTTCTCCTTCTTCCCATCCTCCGTCTTGTGCTCGGCCCGCTTCCTACTCTCCGCATCATTCAGCAAGATTTCCACCTCCACGCTCTGCCCGAAGCCGAAGAAGCTCATCTCACCGCCGGGCTGGGCCGGGCCGGTCTCGGTAAGACCGCTCCTCTTTGCGGATCAGGGGCCCTAAGCAAAGGCCGGAGGGCTGGACGCGGGACCCAGCTCCGCTGCCAGACGGCGGGCGACTGCACTACTCCCGACTCCACGGGGAGGGGGGAGGGCCGGCTGCAGCGCCCCGGGTACCAGTGCACCGCTGCTCGCCAGTGTCCAGTGAGCCCGAGCCGCCGGCGGCAGTGAGGGGCGAGGGCGGTCAATGCAATTGGAGGGGGGCAGTGCAGATCCCTGGCGTGCGTGGCCACAGCCGCCCACCGGGTGGGGTGCGGCGCTGAGCAGCACAGATAGCCAGCCCTGGCCTCTGGAGGTGCAACGCACCGAGGTGCTTCGGCAGCTTCGGGCGGAGGTGCAGAGGGGGGCGCAGTCTCCAGCCCGGACGCGCTGAAGACACCGCGCGCATGCGCTCGCCTCCGCCTCTGTAGCTTTCACCACCCGGCTGCCGGAAGGTGTGCTCACAGCGCATGTGCAGTGGTAGAAAGGGCGGCCGGCCTTTCCCTTAGTTGACATGGCAATTACGGCGTTTTGCCAGAATTTGGGGCCAGACGTCCCGTAGAATTAAAAGAACTGCAGATACACTTTCTGAGTGCTTTTTTGTTTGTTTGTTTTCCTTTATTGTTTTAGTTCGATAAACGTTAGGCTACCATCCACATTCGAATATATACAACGTTCGATCGCTGTCTGACAGGGTAAAGGTAGCCCTTTGACACTCACGGGAAATGTCGCTTGATGGGGGGCAAAGGTGACATTTAATACACGAAGGTTCCTGTCTTAAATTCTCCTTAAAGAGTCGTCCCATTAAAAATATAAGGCGAGAAAAACTCTATTAAGCTATAACTTAATTATTGACCCCCGCCCCCCCAACTTAAAGGGAAACCTAAAAAATCACCCCGTGGAACCTTGGTTCAATCTACAGTCCCTTATCCGCCCCATTCTTTGCGCATGCGTTAAGAAGACCTTGTTCATTGGTTAATAGAGTGGAAACGGTTGAGCGCTATGATTAGTCGGTGGGAAATTCCACCACGTTGTGATTGGTCCACAGGAACGTCTTGGAGCGCGCGCGGGAGCGAGCTTTGAAAGTTGACCACCGCGGTGGCTAGCCGGTTCTTGGGAGATAATGGTGGCTCTGCCGGGCCTTGGGAGTGGCCTGCAGCCCTGGTGCCCGTTGGATCTCAACCCTGGTGAGAAAACGAGGCCGTGAGTCTCGGGGAGGCCGAACTGTGGTGCTTTGCCACTGCGGTGCTCCTCTGCCCGGGCTTGGGGTGGGGGTGGGGCCCTCCTCTTGGCAGACTCTGGGATCTCCAGGTCTGTGCACTCTAGGGCATTGGCGAGCCAGCTCTTGAATAGGGGCTCAACCTAGTAAAGGAACGAAAAAAAGGGGGGGGGCTTATATTGTCTGGTCTTTTAGTTCTTTTGCATGTTTTCTCGGCCTTGCTTATTCTGCAAATCTTCACCGACAGCCTCATCCATTTTTGTGGTTTTACATAGCAAATCTATTTCTTCGTTCAGACTTATTTCCTGAAGTTCATGTTCGTTGGTTTAAATGGATGTCTCACAGGCACCTCAAACGTCACCTGCGTGAAACTGGATTCCTGAAGCCAGCTAATGGTAGCAGCCAATCCACAAACCTGGGAGTCATAACATTCTTCCTTCATCTTTCATGCTTACAACCACCGGTTGTCCTCCCCTCAGAGATGTCTCTCGGGTCCTCCTTGCTCCTTTTCCTGATGCTGCTGTCCAGCAGCAAGCCCTTATTATGGGCAACCTATGCAATTGAATTATCCAAGCAGCTTTCTCATGCTAACTCTTCCAGCCCATTCCCCGCATCTCTACTGGGGTCACTTTTGAAAACACCAACGTCACCCTGTCAGGTCTTTAAACCTTTAATGTTACCCTTATATTTGTTAAATAAATACCAAATCTTTGGCATACCCTGTAAGAGCTTTCACCATTCACTGCAGTGTTCTTTTCTAAGAGCTTAACCTTTTGAGTCAAAATAGTGGGTGGGATTGGTTCCATAGCTTACCATCTCTGTATCACTGGGCAAGACGCTTAACCTTGCTAAGCCTTAGTTTCCTTACATGTCAAATGGGGATTAAAATAATATCCACCTCACAGTTTTGTGAAGATTAATTTAATACCTGGCACATAGTAACTGCTGAATACTAATAATGACTCTCCCCCTTCACGCGAAGACTGAGTGCTGTAACTATTTTGTTCATTTTTAAACAGGTTATACTTTCTTTCTCTTAGTTCCCTCTGTCTGGGATGCTTTTTTTTTTTTTTTTTTTTTTTTTTTTTTTTTTTTTTTTTTTTTTTTGCATTTCTTTCCCTGGTAAACTCCCACATTTAGGTCCAATTGAAGCAGAATCATTCTTCCCACCTCTGTCATCCTTCCTACCTCTCCCATAATATTTTCTGTTATGCTGTGTAGTGTTTTACATACCTGTTACTGTTTTAACACTGATCCATCGTAAAAATAATAATAGTAGCTATCATTTATTGAAAAAAAAAACTTTTTTGAGAGAGAGTACAGGGGAGGGGTGGAGAGAGAGGGGCACAGAGGATCCAAAGCAGGTTTTGTGCTGACAGCAGCGAGCAGCCTGATGTACTCAAACTCACGAACTGTGAGATCATGACCTGAGTTGGACACTCAACTGACTGAGCCACCAAGGCTCCCCTGAATTTTTTCATTTCCTGACACCAGATCTTTTCTTTTTTCATTGAGACTTGGGGTAGGTGTAATCCAGAAATAAAGTAAAAATACTGGTATATATTTAAAAATATGCATATAAAATAAATGGGAGAATATATGAAAGAAAGAGACAGGAAAAGATAGAATGTTTTTAGGAAGAAGATCGTATTTGTTAGGAGAATGATTGGGAAAGAGTGAATGAATAATTAAATTGTGGTAAACTGTCAGTTGTTTCACATGTCCCTTTGTGCTTATACGCTTTATTTGGGTTTATTAACTTGATTGTAAGAATTTCACACAGGGACATCTGAGGCATTCTTTTATTAACCTCTCTTTCTCCAGAATGAACTTATGGGGTAGCCATATCATTAGTGTTTTGATGTGTCATTCCATAAGGCTGTCATATCTAAAATGTGTGTTCCTGGGGCACCTGGGTGGCGCAGTCGGTTAAGCATCCGACTTCAGCCAGGTCACGATCTCGCGGTCCGTGAGTTCTAGCCCCGCGTCAGGCTCTGGGCTGATGGCTCAGAGCCTGGAGCCTGTTTCCGATTCTGTGTCTCCCTCTCTCTCGGCCCCTCCCCCATTCATGCTCTGTCTCTCTCTGTCCCAAAAATAAATAAACGTTGAAAAAAAAAATTAAAAAAAAATAAATAAAATAAAATGTGTGTTCCTTCTTGATAATTTAAGAAGATGATCAATCTTTTAGCAGCTGTCAGTTCTGATTTAAAAAATATTTTTTAACCTTTTCTGCTTTCGTTTAATTATGCTACACTTCTATTGTATAATTCTAGGTGAATTATGACTAGTTCCTTTTTTCTTTTTGAACGTGCCTGGTGTCTAAAATGATTGGTGTTTTACTTGTGATAGAAAAGTTATTGATTTCATTGCATTTTCCCACTAGAATGGGTGGACACAGTGTGGGAACTGGATTTTACAGAGACCGAACCTTTGGATCCCAGCATAGAAGCAGAAATCATAGAGTCTGGATTGAATGCATTTATAAAACTATATGAAAGTGTTTTTCCCTTTGCTACTGAAGAACATGGATCTACAGAGGTAAAAAAAAAAAAAATCGAACCAGCCATCTTTAGGTGTTAGAAGTGGAAGATGAAAGTCATTATAATCTGAAGCTTAGCCTTTTTTAGTATACAATTCATAAGGAGTATGGTAAGGATAGCATAAAGAATGTGGTTCGTCTGTTAGAAAATCCTAGTAGCTAACAGCTAAGTCAAGTGGGGAAATTCATATTTAGGCTTTGGAATGTGAGATTCTGTTAGGAAATTCTTAGAGAGATGTAACGGGTCACTGGAAATGTGAATTGGAAGACTAGGAAAGAAGTGAAGATTTAATAAAATAGATAAGAGTCCTCTCAATTCTGAGTCAAGGTGATGGATGAAGTGCAACAATGCATGAGGTCAGGGAGGAAGAGAAGAGGACAGGACAAGTTTAAAAAAGCTGGTTGAGGGTGACCTATAGGTGCACAGTCGGAGTGTGGAGAGTGTTGATATGAAGACCAGGAAGTGGCCAGGTATCACGTGCTGCAGAGGTCATGGGCAGGCACAGTCACCCCTCAGAGGTGATTGGATCATCCTTGGTGACCTGTAAGGTCACAGTTACAGGGAAGTGGGGTGGAGCTGAAGTGGCATTAGGAATGAGGAGGTAACTACTATAAAGGTAGGAGGTGATTTCTTCCAGAAGTTTCATGGTGAAAGAATGCAGAGTACTGACAGGATTTTAAATGGGCTCTTCCATAAAAGTGGCACATGCTAACTAGTGTAGCTAAGCCAAGGCATTACTTGCCATTTTCCCTGTCTTCAGGGGAGCAGCAAGTATAGGGTCTGATTGCTTGAACATCCGTGGGCCTATGTTTTTTTCAAGGTACTCCAGGATAAATCATATTTAGTTCCCTGCTGTTTGGTTTATAGAAATAACCCGTTTCCTTATCATGTGTTTAATTGGCAAAACATGGAACCACGATACAATTAATAAACTAGTGGTTTATAGTCTAGGGTATATTTCCTTTCTCACCTTGGCTACTTATGAAATCTGCTGAGGGAGAAACTTTCAGGTATTTCTTTTCCTGTTCCTGTTGCCCATAGAGATTTACATTTAAGTAAACGGCTCTAATTTCTTCATTTAGTAATTAGAGCGATAAATGATTTTGAGTACATTTAATATAGCTGGATAGGGAACTTCTTTGAGTAAACACAAATATAGGGTGTCCTAAAGGTCTTACTATAGTTTTTGGCTATGATAATTTCAGAAATATATATGCTTCAAACCTATCCCCAAATTATTTTGATATCTAATTATTTAAATTTCTTATGTACTTATTTATTTTTATAATTTTGAATACTACATTTTAATTTTTTTTCAATCCCTTAGAAGATAGCAAACATTTAGAATTAGGAGCCAGGTTGGTCTTTTTTTTTTTTTTTTTTTTTTTTTTTTTTTTTTTTTTAATAAGGTACTAAATACTTGCAAAAATTAAATAATAGGAGATTTTCCAATTTCTCTAATTATTGGCTTTTATGTTTCTCCCTCCCCACAGAGCATATGGACCTTCTTCGTTGAAAACAGTATTTCTCACAGGGCACTGGTGGCATTGTTCTATCACTTTGTTCAAACAGTCCATAAGAAAAGTGTCAGTGTGCAATATCGACAGTATGGCCTTCATGCTGCTGGGCTTTATTTTCTGCTGCTGGAAGTACCAGGTATGTATATATTTGATCATAAGATAAATATTTTTTTGTTTTAAATTTCTACATTGTTTTGAACTCTTGTATTTCTTTTTCTCACTTATAAAATGAGGCAGGGGCAACCCATCTTATAGAGTCGTTCTAAAAATTAAATACAATGAGTCTGTGAAATACATGGCTTGTTATAGGTGTTCAAGAAATGTGTTTCCTTTGTTTCTTTAAATTTTTTTTTTTTTTGGTGTTTATTTATTTTTGAGAGAGGCAAAGACAGAATGCAAGTGGGTTAGGGGCAGAGAGAGAGGGAGACACAGAAACAGAAGCAGGCTCCAGGCTCTGAGCTGTCAGCAAAGAGTCTGACGTGGGGCTCGAACTCACGAGCTGTGAGATCATGACCTGAGCCGAAGTCAGACACTCAACCGACTGAGCCACCCAGGCGCCCCAAGCCTCGTTTCTTTAAGTGTGTTTGTTTTGTAATATGCTGTGTCTATAACCTAATACAATTAATATCAGAGGGATAAGGCTGAAGGGGTTTGTTTCCAAGCTATAAGAGCTCCATTCCCACCCACCACCATCTAGTATAAAAACCTGATACCACCCACTCATCTCCTGACTCCCCGTCCAGACTGAGAAAGACTGCTGGAGAGTCATTGTGTTATATATATCTCTCTCTCCTATGCAGATATGGAAAAATAGGTTAAAACCATTCTAATAAAGAAAACATGAGAATAGCTAGTAATGCTTGATGAAGGAAAGCACAGGAAAGGAGTCTATTTATGAGCACTGTTCTACTTCCCTTATTGTCAGAGCGCTCAGGTGGCTGTTCCTCCTGTGCGCAATAAAGGAGTCCCTTCTACACACCCCAAACCTAAGGTAAGAGAGGCTGGAACAGAGGGAGATGTGGCTGGAGAACCTAAAGTTCATATAGACAAGAAAATCACAAGATTAGTCAGCATTTATGCTGCTTGTCATAGTTTACACAAGTTCATTTGTAATGAATGTTAAAGATTTATTCCATGTGATTGGGAATTGGTAAAAAGACATATAAAGCCTTGGACACTAATTTATATTATTGTTAAAGCTCCCAATCATGACTTTTGAAATAAGTTCCTAAAGACTTTAGTTGCTAAGCAATATCTCAGTTGGAACTGAGTTGTCTCACAGAAGAGTGGTGATTTTAGGAACCCAGTTTTACTCTTCTCTTCCCTTGCTAGATGCAGATCCTTCTGATTAAGGTTGAGATTTATGCCAAAGCAAAGAGTGTTGTTCATTATTGGCTACTTGCATCTTTCCAGAGAGTGTTTTTGCTAATTACCTTCTGTTTTTAAATGTTTCCAGATTATGGTTGGGATGCTGTTGATACTTAATTTTTAATCATAGTGTGTTCTTTTTCAAGATGTTTTGGTTATTCTGGGTCCCTTTTATTTCCATGTGAATTGTAGGAGTTACATGTCAATTTCTGCCCAAAAAAAAGGCTTCTACGATTTTGACAGTTACTGCACTGAATTTATAGATCAATTTGGGGAGTATTGCCATCTTAACAACATTACGTCTTCTGATCCATGAACACAGGATGTCTTTCCATTTAGGTCTTCTCTAATTTGTTTCAATGACATTTTATACTTTCCAACATACACTTACTTGGTTAAACTTATACCTGAGCATTTTATTCTTTTCCATGCTATTGTAGATGAAATTGTTTTCTCAATTTCATTTTCAGATTGTTTACTGGTAGTGTGTAGAAGTACAATTTATCTACTTATTTATTATTTAAGTATAGTCAATATACAACGTTATGTTAATTTTAGGTGTACAATATAGTGTTTGGATAAGTCTGTATGAAAAGTGCTATCCTCACCACAAGTGAGGCTATCATCTGTCACCACTCAATGCTGTCACAGTACCATTGAGTATATTCCCTGTGCTGTGCATTTTATCCCCATAACTTACTCATTCTGTAACTGGAAGCCTGTACCTTCTACTTCCCCTCACCCATTTTGCCCATCTCCCAACCCCTCTCCCCTTTACCAACTACCAGTTTGTTCTCTGTGTTTATGGGTTGTTTCAGCTTTTTTTGTTTGTTTTGTGTTTAGTTTTCACTTATATGTGAAATCATATGATATTTGTCTGACATTTCCTTTTTATTTTTTTGTTTTTAACATTTATTGATTTTTGAGAGACAGAGACAGTGTGAGCAGGGGAAGGGCAGAGAGAGAGGGAGACACAGAATCTGAAGCAGGCTCCAGGCTCCAAGCTGTCAGCACAGAGCCCAACCCGGGTCTCGAACTCACAGACCACGAGTTCATGACCTAAGCCGAAGTCAGACGCTTAACCCCCTGAGCCACCCAGGCTCCCCGTTGTCTGACTTATTTCATTTAGCACATATCCTCTAGGTCCATCTGTGTTGTTGCAAAAGGCAAGATTTCGTTCTTTTTTATAGCTGAGTAATATTCCATTACTTCCATCTCACATTTTCTTTATCCATTCATCTATTGATGGAATCTTAGATTGCTTCCATGTCTTGACTATTGTAAATAATGCTGCAGTGAACATAGAGGTGCATTTATATTTTTGATTTAGTGTTTTTCTTTGGATAGATACCCAGTAGCGGAATTACTGGATTGTAGGGTATGTCAATTTTTAATTTTATGAGGAACTTCTGTGCTATTTCCTTTCCATGGTGGCTGTACCAATATTACCACCAATAGTGCATGAGGATTCCTTTCTCTCCACATCCTCGCCAACATTTGTCATTTCTTGTCTTCTTGATTTTAGTCATTCTGGCAGGTGTGAGGTTATATCTCATTGTGGTTTTAATTTGCATTTCCCTGATGATTAGTATTTTTGAACTTCTTTTCATGTGCCTGTTGGCCATTTGTATGTCTTTTTTGGAAAACTGTCTATTCAGGTCTTCTGCCTTTTTTAAATCAGAAAAGTACAGTTGATTTTTTATTACTGATCTCATACCCTGCAACTTTGCTGAACTCATTTATTGTTACTAATAAGATTTTTATATATAAGATTATGTTGCTTGTAAGTAGACATAATTTTACTTCTTTTCCAGTTTGGGTGCCTTTTATTTCTTTTTCTTCCCTAATTGCCCTGGTTAGGTCCTCCAGTATAGTACTGAGCAGAAGTCAGGAGGTGGGCATCTTGTCTTGTTCCTGATCTCAGAAGGAAAACTTTCAGTATTTTGTCCTTAAGTATATGATATTTGCTGTGATTGTTGTAAGAATCACCTTTATGAGATTGTTGTTCCTAGTTTGTTGAATGTTTTATTATGAAAGGATTTTAGATTTTGTTATTTGCTTTTTTGTATCTGTGGGTTGGTCTTGTGGTTCTTTATTCCAATAATAGAATGTATTATGTTGATAGATTTTCATGTTAAACTAGTTTTGCATTTCCTTGATGATAGTGTATAACCTTTTTATGTGTTGTCAGATTTTGTTAGCTAATATTTTATTGAAGATTTTGCATCTGTATTCATAAAGGACATTCTTTTTTTGATATGCCTTTGTCTGGCCTGGGTTTCAGGATACCAGTCTCATAGAATGAGTTGGGTAGTGTTCTTGCCTTTTTTATATTTTGGAAGTATGTGAAGAACTGGTTGTTCTTCTGCCTTAAATTTTTGGTAGAATTCAATAATGAAGTCATGTAGGCATGCAGTTTGCTTGGAAATATTTTTGTTTGCAGAATCTGTAGTGATATGTCTTCTTTCATGTCTGATTGATAACTTGTATTCCTTTTGTTAGTGTTTTCATCCCTGTAGATAGAGGTTTATTAATTGTATTGATCATTTCAAAGAACCACTTTTGATGTTATTGATTATACTCTATTCTTTGTCCATTTCTTATTTCAGTGATTTTGGTCTTTTATTGCTTTCCATCTTACTTTGGTTTAATTTGCTTTTATTCTGATTTCTTAAGGTGGTTGCTTAGATCTTTGTTCTTGCTTACTTCTCTTATCTGGCAAATTTCCCTATGTACTGCTTTATCTGCACCCTGCAAATTCTGATGATTTGTTTTCATTATCATTGAAGCCAAAGCAGTTTTCTGATTTTTCTTGTGATTTCTCCTTACATCTCTGAGTTATTTAATAGTGTATCCAATTTCCAAATATTTGAGGACTATCCTGAAATGTTATTACAGGGCTTAGGGGTACTGACCTCTCCCGCAGTCAAAAATCCCTGTGTAACTCTTGACTCCCCATAACTTAACTAATAGCTTACTGTTGACCAGAAGCCTTACCAATAACATAAACAGTCAATTAACACGTATTATTGTGTATTTATTTTATACTGTTTTCTTACAATACAGTAAGCTAAAGAAAAGAAAATGTTATTAAGAAAATCATAAAGAAAACACATTACAGTACAATACTGTATTTATCGGTACCATAAGTTTACATTATTTCTTTACAAGATGAATTGTCTTGCTGTGAGTACCTATATCAGTGTTGTCTTATGGGATACAAAACACTTTAGGTGTTATATGTATTATTAACATTAGACAAAAAAATAAAAAGATAACATGAAAAAGGAATTCATATTTATTTATAGGTATAACGATTCATGCATTGATAAGCAGCAAAATGATTGCTTTATGGGGTTCTGGGCTATACACTAATGAATGAATCATTATGAAGTTTTTATGGCATACAGTATTACAGCTGTATTCATAATGCTGCATTGGAAACATTGTTACATTAAAAAAAAAAACACCTGTGATGATAGGCTGATACACAGTTTCTTCAGTTACCAGAGAAAAAGAGATACTATATAGTAATGTAACTCTTTGAAACTGAAGTTCTTTTTTTTTTGTTTTTAAGTTTATTTATTTTGAGAGAGAGAGTGAGAGAGCACATGGGGGACCAGGGGGAGGGACGGAGAGAGAGAAAACAAATCCCAAGCAGGCTCTGCACCGACAGTGTGTTAGCCCAATGTAGGACTCAAACTCACGAATCATGAGATCATGACGCGAGCTGAGATCAAAAGTTGGATGCTTAACCAACTGAGTCACCCAGGCTCCCCTGAAACTAAAGTTCTTTTTAAAGTTTATTTATTTTGAGAGAGAGCGAGAGAGCAGGAGAGGGGCAGGGAGAGAGGGAGAGAGAGAATCCCAAGCAGGCCCTGCACTGTCAGTGTGGAGCTTGACATGGGGCTGAAACTCCCAAACCATGAGATCATGACCTGAGCCAAAATAAGAGTTGGATGCTGAACCAACTGAGCCACCCAGGTGCCCCTAAAGTTCTAAAACAGTAAGAAAATTAACATATTGTTAATTTTATGTTAAATATCACTCACCTTATACCTATGTAAGAATAGGCTGTCCACTTCTACTCAAATCTTGCACATGGTGTCCTACACCGTGAATACTTAGGTAATGATGATGAGAACACAGAAACACCTTGTATAGTTCTTGCTGTACACTTATTAGATGTTCACATGAAGATAACACATGCACAGCAGATAAGATCACTGACTGTACATGGGGCGCCTGGGTGGCGCAGTCGGTTAAGCGTCCGACTTCAGCCAGGTCACGATCTCACGGTCCGTGAGTTCGAGCCCCGCGTCAGGCTCTGGGCTGATGGCTCAGAGCCTGGAGCCTGTTTCTGATTCTGTGTCTCCCTCTCTCTCTGCCCCTCCCCCATTCATGCTCTGTCTCTCTCTGTCCCAAAAAATAAATAAACGTTGAAAAAAAAATTTAAAAAAAAAAAGATCACTGACTGTACAGCATGATGATTATTTGTTGTTCATTAAGCGGAAGTGGACCATCAGAAAGGTCTTTATCGTCGTCTTCATGTTGAGTAGGCTGAGGAGGAGGAGGAGAACGAGCTGGGGTTGGTCTTGCTGTCTCAGAGGTGGAAAGAGAGGTACACACAGGGTCATTTCACAGAAATACATTGTAATTGGTCTGAATTTTTGCTTTTTCATTTCTCTAAAAATGTTTCTGTATGGTACCAATCCTTTATCCATCATTTGTTGTAGTTTCAGTGCCCATATCATAGAAGAGTCCATGTAATAAAAGAAAGGAGTGAAAAACAGTCTTAAATGATCAGAACCTTCTGCTAGATTGTCTAAATCTGCTAGACAAATCTGCTGTCAAATCTGCTAGATTTGTTTTCTGGCACTTCTTTTTTTTTTTTT